CCCCAAAACCCCAAAACCCCAAAACCCCAAAACCCCTTTCTTATTTAAACTTTTGAAAACAAGCTATTTTTCCTCTTTTTTGACCTGAACGGTGCTGGCAATTACCTTCTTGGTGACAGTCACAGAGTCATCCCTCAGAAGATTTATCTGGGCAAGTAAGTTGTTTCCAGTGTATCTTGGCATTTTAACTCCAGCATAGAGAGTATTTAATGTACCTTGGCCCATCTTGAGTGCTTGAAGGGAGGTTGAAGAGGCTCCTCTTAAGTAGGCCTGGTCTAACTGGGCTTTAACTATAGTCTTCTTCTTTATCTCAAGAGCTTTCTGTTCCTCGAGTTCCCTTACTGCAGCTTCAAGGGCTTCGACTACGACTCTCTTGTCCTGTAGTTCGTTTTGTACAATATTTTCTACTCTTTGCTTCATTCTGTTTTCATATTCTTTATTCCCTTTGTTAAAAGTGAAATATTTCCAGAATTTTATGATCATTTTGAGCAAGTTTTTGTTTCTGAAATTCTTGCACCATTCTTCATTATATTTCTTATCATTCTTAGCTGCTATATAAGTGGTTTTTAACTCTCTAAAGTATGGTCTGAGGAATCTCTGTCTTTGAATAGAATCAAGCTCTCTTTTTATAGCAACTTCTTGCATTTTCTTGTGCTTTTTGAGGTCATAACATTCATTTTCAAGCACTCTCATTTCTCCTCTAAGTTCGTCAACTCGAGACTCTTTTTCAGCCTCAATATTATTGATTTCTTGATTAACTTTGATTGAGTCTAAATAAGAGGCGGATTAGTACAAAGTCTACCAAAGGAGGGAGATCTTACCATTAACCTTCAGCATGAAGACTTTTCGCATGATATCATCTCTAAATTTGCCATTGCAGTCGTCAAGATGGTTGTCGAATTCCTGATTGGTGAGCCTCTTCGTATAACTCTCAATGTCTACATTAATCTCTGTCATATTTGTTTTATAATATATTTTAGTTTAAATTCAATTTGAATTATGAATATTGGGGTTTTGGGGTTTTGGGGTTTTGGGGTTTTGGGGTTTTGGGG